TTTTTTTTTCAATTTTTTATGGAAAAATATATATATTTCTCCTTTGTAGATATAACAAGGATAATAAAAAATACAGAAAAAAAACTTTTTATATACAATATTATTAGTCATTTTATATATATTATTATTAATGAAGCATGTTAAATTAATATGTAATGTATAATTGATAATTTTACACACTCGATATATATCTCTTTCTCAAGTATATAAAACATCAGACTGCGCATGCCTGAAGCTTATACTGCGCATACGCGAGAAATGTAAATATTTACTGGCAACAGTTAAAGAGACGAGTTAGCAGTTTAGCCTATATTATAGAAGTCTGTGGGTGCCATGCTCATAGAGCTCTCGGGCCCCGAAAGAAAGGAGCAAGCGGACAGGCTGGCCAATAAAATGGCTGAACTGTTCGCAGACAGGCCAGAGATTAGGATCGCCCGCCCCCAGAAAATGGGGGAAATCCGGGCCAGCGGAGCGGGCCCATTCGCCACACCCGAGGATATTGCCCGGGCTGTGGCGGAACATGGAGGATGCTCCCTCACCGATATCAAGGTGGGGGACATCAGAACGATGGGGAGGGGAAAAAGGTCCGCATGGGTCCGATGCTCTCTGGAGGCGGCCACCAAGGTCGCTAAAATCGGCCGTCTACGGGATAGGTGGTTCCACTTCAACGTGGAACTACTCGACGCGCGCCCCCTCCAGTGCTTTAAATGCTTGGAGAAGGGGCACGTACAGGCCAAATGCCCCTCGGGCAACGCAGACCGCAGCAAGTGCTGCTACCGCTGTGGCACCGAGGGGCACGAGGCAAGGACGTGCACAGCACCGGCGCACTGCACTTTGTGCCACGCAGCCGGTCGCTCGGCCTCCCACCGAATGGGGGGCCTGGCGTGCAAGGCCCCAAAGAACGGGGGCAAAAGGACGAAGGGGGGGAATGCTCAGGCACCCCCACCCTAAAAAGGGAAAAAGAAGGAGCAGGCAGCGGCGATTTTGCCTGCCCTGGAAGGGCCTTGTCCCCCCCAGGAGATGGA